TAAAAATAAGGCACCGGAAGATGATTAGTCCAGAAGTATGTGGTAGGGTGTGCCCCATGCTGAGGCTGATGTTGCATCCATGATGCTTCTTCACCGCAGTAGGGCTAAATTAACTTACAATTAAACCAGGCCTTTTAAGGTGGAAAAATCCATTCCACTTTAGTTGGTTTATTCTGCATACTTGACAATCTTCTTCTAACTTGCGCACGCCGCTCATGTAACTTGTGGTCAACTCGCGTACTGTTACCGCGTGGTATTGTTTAAATAACTTACGGACGTTTTGTACTTATTGCGGATTTCCGTATAACCAACTTCTTCCATATGCTCATTTAGCGAGTATTTATGTCGTCGTATGCTTTTACGTTATTTGATATGGGCATTTCGAAAGATTGGCTGCTGTTTGGCATCCCAAGTGTGACTGCGCTTGATGCGCATGTTGGCAAGGTGATTACCTGACTATTACCCACTACCTCCTTCATCTGGCTCCAGGTGATGGTTGGTCGTTGCTGAAAGAGACGTGGGGCACCGTCCTAGTGGTCGTGCTACGCTCAAAGCGTGGTCGCATGCACTTAGTATGGAGCGGACTACGGTCCAGCCACCGTCTTGTGTGTACGTGGTTCTCCAAATACAGCGTGCTTTTGTTTGCCTGTGAAGGAGTGTGGGCCGGCTCCGTCGACGTAACGTGGCTCCCATTCACATGCCTCATGGTCTTATTCCTTCGGGCTTACATTGGATATGGATGTGGGGATGGCGCTGTGGGTGGTGAAGCGCAAGCAATTCATGGTCCCTCTGTAGGCGCGGGCGTCCTGTGGCTGGCCACAATGGCAGGCAACTATGAAACCGGATGCCGCCAACAACGTGGTAGGGTGCTGAGTACGATCGGAGAACGGACGTTGGTTTGAAGTTGGCAGACAAAGTTCGGATGTTATCGGTGTTTCGCATGCAAACACGTGCAACATACAAACCTGCCGACCACTTCCGTCCCTAACGCTTGAGCATACTGTGAGTTCATAATATTTCGGATTGATTTCCACATCAATCGGGGGATTCTCCAGGTCATTGCAGTCCACTCATAGAAGGGAAACCGTGGGTTGCCCTTCGATCTATCTGAGGACCGTCTGTCGCCAGCCAGCCTTTTGCGGACCAAGTGGTGAGACCTGCTGCAGCTGCTGGGGGAGTGATAGTGACGTTGGACCCTCGCGGGCTCCCACACGTGGCCTTCCTAAAGGTGCCAAGCACTCCAAATTGAGAGTTTGTTAGAGTCAAATGTGCAAACTTATGAACGTCAAATAATCGCTTGTAAATAAATAAATAAATAACTAGGTATATTTCTAGACCTGCTAGAGGCTGCACCCTAAAGGGTTCAGATCAATGCTTACATTTATCCGATGCTCTTGCATGGAAGTTGGCAAAATATATGTTCATCGTTAGCAATTGCAAATGCATTGGCACTGTTTAGTATACAGCTACTGGGTCGCAGGCGCCCACCTTGACATTTTTCTGCTTCCTTCGGGCGATATTGAGCTCCTTGTATTTTATCGTGAATACTTCGCGGAGGTGTAGTTTGCCTTTTCTCCTTGGAACAGAATCCAATTTGCCACAAGTTCACTTTAAATTGATCGCACAATAATTGGCCACTCAGTTGCCCCAATTGTCGTTGCGCACATGGAAGAAATGAATGAAGGAATTATAAGGCATACGAAAAGTAAAAACAATTCCGAAAATTGCAGACATAAATAGAAGCAATTTGTTAAGAGAGAAAATAAATCTGCGTGCTTCAGTAGAAAAATACCCATTAACAAAAAAAATATAGCCCTACTTGTATTACGCTGATATTGCTCTCCGGCGCAAAATTTCAACCTGAGTTATTCTCAGATAAAAGAAAAAGCCTTTCTAAAGTTAGAATACCGCTTAAAGTAGCACAAAATTACGCTGGTCTGGACCAGCTTTAGCGCTTGAATACGATGAACGTAAAAGCATCACCATGCGTGCAGTAGTTTGCGAGTTATTTGCAATTAAACGGTGGTCTACGAATAGGGCCATTTTTATTTTCGCT